TCCTAGGATTCGAGAGAGAAATGTAATATGAAGCATTTGTCGTGAACTCTGGCAAAAGTTGAACTGGAACCTGGGTCCGAGTTTTGTCCTAATTTCGAAGCTTGTTTGATGGTTTTACAGCTTGCGAAAATGGTTGTTCGCAGAAGCGATGTCAGAAGGCTGCCGCCCCCGATTTTTTCCTTCGGGACTTCCTTCCTTCTCCCCCCCCCCACACCGCCCCTCTTTCTCCATCATACCTAGCTTTTTTCTAAAGTTTTCCCATTTCTCTACCGATTTTCCTTTTTTTCAAGAATACAGTTCAGGCAACTTCTTATTTTGAACTATGGTGAATTGCAGTCATATATAACTTGGACGGCGCCGTCATCTAGCGAAGGGGATCAAGACCAGATACGACCCCCCCCCCTTCCACGACCAGGGAATTCTTCCAACGATGCTGTACCCTGGTTCCAATAGAATTGTGAATGAAGGAAGCCCGGGCATTTGGAACGAAATTGTGGGAGAAAATGCTCGCTGTCGGTAGTTTTGCAGGAGACCAACCCTTGTGAGTACTGAAAGTATTGACTTCTTCTCTTTTCTAATTGTGATCAATGCGCTCCGTGAGCTGATGAATTCACAGCTGGAGGGGTGGTATTCAGCTTTTTTGCATTAATGTGCGAATCCAGAGAAAAAGTGGGTTGGCCCCGGCAGGGGCTGAACCGATAGTTTCCTCCGGATCGGGCAAGCTAAGGGTAATTCCAGTAAATTACCAGCGGAACGTCTTCTGCGCCGGAAACAGCGGAAGCACCTGCCCATCTCTCTTCCCATCCCTTTCCCATCACAGCTCAAAGTTAGATCGGGTGGGGGGGGTGATCGACACGATTTGGCTATCATTTTCAACAATTGGGAAGAGCAGCTGTATGGATCTTTAATAGCCCCTCTTCCAACAACGACCAAATACTACTACCTCCCCCCCTTTATAGCGTCCGTGAAAAACTAACCAGAAATCTTCGCAGACCAAATGGACTCCAACCCCTTCACTTTGCGGTCAAGATCGCCCCGGTCAAATACGACCCCCATTTTGAACATCCCAACGTGGCATCCCCTGCTCTAAAGTTTTTTTTTCTCGACGCCACGTTTAGCCCTGAGCATTGGATGCCATTTGGTCTCGGTTGTTGTGTGCTGTATGCTTTGCTTTCTAATGAAGTTCATGTAGTTAGGCAGCGTTCAGACTTCGTGACGGCAGCGCTTCGGTCGCGCGTTCGACGCTATCGATGCAGTCTAAAACATGCGCATCGATCGTCGAATCGCGCGACCGAAGCGTTTGTGAAGTCTGAACGCTGCCTTAAGGTTTTGAATAGTCAGCGGTAGCTAGATTTCAGGACACTTCACCATCCGGATCCCAATTAGGCACTGTGGTGGCCATACATGGTGCGCCAGGATCTCACAAAGATTTCAAATATGTGACACCACTATTGCACAGTAAAGGAATACGAGTTATTGGCGTTAATATGCCCGGCTTTGGTCACACTCCAGGTTCGTTTTGATACTTAGCTAGTCGAAGAGCTCATTTGATTTGGATTGTTCGTGATCACCACCCACCCAATGCATGTTAAGGTGACCCTCGTCTGCGCTGTGATAATACAGAACGAAATAATTTTGTGAATGAATTGATCGCTAGAATAGGCAACGTGGAAAAGGTAGTGATGATGGGACACAGCAGAGGATCTGAGAATGCTGCTGCCATAGCTGCCAGTAATACAGTAAGTTCGTTAACTTCATTCAAATAATAATTAGTTGATCTACTGGTTAGGTAGTGTTCAGACTTCGCGATGACGCGCGTAGGCGCGCTGTCACGCGCAAGGTATAAACGCGAGCGCAGTCGCAGACGGGACCTGATCAGCGCGGGCCGTTTGTGAATTGAGAAAGTATGGGGAAACAGGAGGGTACGTGTTGCCTAATCACGCAGCCTGGTATAAATCGACGCTGGCCGCTAGGGCTTTGGGAGAGTACAGAGGTATAAGAGGGTGCAGTGTGAA